ATTTATAATCACCAATTAACCTCAACATGTTTTTTGGACTGTGTGGGAGGAAGCTGGAGAACAGGGAGAGAAGCCACGCTGCACGGGGAGAACATGCAAACTCCACACAGAAAGATTCCGGTGCCCCCACCGGGATGCGAACCGGAGATCTTCTTGCTGCGAGGCAACAGTGCTACCAACTGCTCCACCCTGCAGCCCACAATGACAAACACTACAGTGAAAAAAAAGTTTAGAAACCCAACGCAAAGTGGTGATTCTTTGAGAAATAACGCTGTGACCAGTTGTCCAACACACCTTTTGTGAAATTTGGTGACCTGTGTGTTATGTGTGTACACTGAAAAAAAATATTTGGAGCCCTGTTCTGTAAAAGGGAAATAAATAAAACCTTTTTCAGACATATGTCAACCTGTCTGTTAAAATCACAGCATTCTGTCATTCACACATTGATAACTTCAACATTATTTTTCTTCACAGAGTATTTGTCATTCACATGAGATTAGAGAGTACATCCAGTGATGTATAATGCATAATAATGTATTAATCGGTTACTGCTGTCGTTCCACATGTGTGAATACAACTCTCATTCTTTGGAGTCGGTCCCCTGGATCCTGCTGCAGCTATTTAATAAACTCAGAGGAAATAGTGCTAAACAAGTGGAAGCAACAAACTGAACTTCAGCTCCAGTAGTCAAAACCTGGATTATATTCATCATTGGTCAGTTTCATTAATCTGAGCTGTTCAGGTTCATCAAAGTGTTAATTTTTAAAAAACATTTCAGTTTGTAATAGGCGTTAAATTGTAGAGCAAAGTGGATAAGCTAGGCATGCAAACTGTTTCATTATAGAAGGAAAACAACAGTTGACTTCCCACAGCCGAGCTAACGTCAGTAACACGACCGGCTGTGTCTCTGTTCTACATCATGGTATTTGTCTGTGCAAAAGATTTTATAGCCACAAAGACTAAAAAACACATGTATGCTAGCAAAATGGAAATATTTGTCTTGATACATAATTCAACATACGATGGTGGGTGATAATGCCTCAAATGAAAGCCTCACCACTCGGCAGCCATCTTGGCAACA